CGAGCCCGGCCCGTTTAGCCCAGGACCATATGGGCTTAGGCCCGTCACGGGCCGGTTCCACCAATTGAGCCCACGAAGCCCGAGACCGCCAGGCCCGGGACCTCCAGAGCCCAGGCCACGAAGCCCGGCCCGTTTGGCCCACGAAGGCCCGGCCCCGACCCAGAATACAACCCTATTGGAAACAGCCCTTATTTACTTAATATTGGCATTGATGCCTCAGGAGATTTTATTTATACTCCTATACTTAACAGCCCATATGACATTGTGCGAGAGAAAAAGTCCTCTGAGTACTATATAAAAGTTTCATCCATTGGCATCAATGGTAAAAATGTGCCACTAAATAAAACGTTACTCTCATTGAAAAATGGATTTGGCACGAGTATTAGCACGGCTGTACCTTATACTATATTGTTACCTTCTATTTATAATGCCATAACAAAAGCCTTTGTTAATGAGATGCCAAAAGAGGTTAGATCTGTCCCTCCAGTAGAACCTTTTACAACTTGCTTTGACTCAAGAGATATTGGCATATCACGCCTTGGCTTCAATGCTCCTGAAATTAATGTCGCTCTCCACAAGAAAAATGTGAATTGGAGAATTACTGGAGCGAACTCATTGGTAAAAGTTAATGAGGATGTGATATGTTTAGCCTTTGTCGAACGGCGTACTCGAGATTGGGGACAAGGAATTGTTATTGGTGCGTATCAAATGCAGGACAACCTCGTTGAGTTTGATCTTTTGAGAAGAAGAATAGGTTTTAGTAACTCGCTCTTTTTCCGTCAAAGCATGTGCTCAAATCAGAATTATACTTAAGCGTGGCTCGGTGGTTGCTAGCTTCTTTTTCGATGAAATAATGCAACAATATATTATGAAGGATGATTAGAAATTGCTCAAATTAGACTTCAGTATTTGTTGGCTTTAACAAAAAGTGTTGCCTTTCGAATTTCTTATTTCAACTAACAAGTCTGAAACTAGAAAATATAATAATATCTGATGTGTTAGTTCAGATTATTTTTATCTTTTCAGTACACTGCTTGTTGGCCACTATATGCACTTTCAATTCTGGAATAAAATGGGTAGCTGATAGCTTTGAACTATACTGCATATTAGTGTCTTATGTTCTTTGCTGTAACAACTTTATCAAAATCGGGATATCACAGTTTAGTAGGTTGTCTACATCACACCCCTTATGTTTGTGCAGCCGTTTCCCCGGTCCGACTACCCTTTAAATCTGTTTAGTAGGATTAAAAGTGCATTATACAAAGACAATGTGCATTACTAACTACCTTTTGTCGAGAAAATTATTATAATACTAAAACTAACAGGAAAGAGTGCTGAAATGTGGTACTATGGTTTTGTAATGAGGATAATATTTCGACAAATAAGACAAAAGATACTCCAAGCCCTTTAAATATCCATACTGTCAAAAAGTCCATAACAAGCCCTTGCTTCAAAGGATGTAATACTTTGCAAGTCCAACATGCACTGGGGACTGTTGTTATTTTAGATGACCAAATAGTACATTTATTTTCTGCACCAAGGCATCAATCTATAGAAAATTAGAACAGGATTTGCCCTTTAATACAAGAAAGAAACTACTCTTATTTTCTGGAACTGCGGATTTGAGATATATAGCCCACATAAAAGCATCTTTTGGAAGTCATGTAGCTGTCTGCTCATTTCTTTACAAAGTTGACACCCTTCTGAACACTTGTTGCCAGCTCTTTCTTTGCCTTCTCAAGCCCAGACCTGCAAAATTCAGTAAATTGAGAAAAATGTGACCAGTGTTTTCACTAAATAACATCATAATGAACATGGCAGTATTTCAAGAGGTAATTGATCAGAATACTAACCTCTCGTATTCATTTAGGGGACCAAGGGGGTATATTTCTTCAACTCCGTTGCGGCCAAGCCGTACTTTTGATGCGAAAAATGGAAGTTCAGTCACCTACAAAGATGATTAACCATTACTAACTGTCATGAAAAACCGAGGTTTCTGTATCCAGAACAATGTCATGAGGTGTAAACAAATAAATGCTGTAGAGAAAATTTAGCAGAAGGTCTAATATACATGCCTGAGAAGACACAAAGGCACATTCTACAATGCCAGCATCTCCTCTCAATCCATGCAAACATGCGTCGGCAAATTTAACCGCAGCATATGCCTGTAATGTCAGGACAAACTTATGATTCGGCATCGCTGTGGATGATATGAACTGTCAACTGTAATACAAGGGAAAATGAAATAAAGCGTGCAAAGTTGCTCTAACCATAGAGAGAGTTGCCGAACCAGCACCAGCTTTTGCCTGCAAAATAGAGTACCATGTCCATTCAGCAACAGATGAATTCCACCAATAGAGTTAGCTTAGTCAGTAATTTGTGGTGCTATCACAGCCAAATAAACCATGACCGATACCATCCGGATATTTTCCTTGTTTACAAGAGGAGAGTAGCAAGGAAAAGGTAGGAAGATGAAGAAAGACAGAAAAAGCAATTTATGAGAGAGACTGCTGCTTATGGCAATGGAGTTGATGCACGATGCTGGCCAGGACAACTGCATATTAGACGTGAAAGATAAGGACTGCACTGTATCAATATAATTCTGTAAGAGGAGGAAGGGAGAGTAATGAAATCATTTCAGAGAAAGGGTTGAAACTCATCTAGGTTGTGATTGTGACATCTAAAAATGCAATGTCAGGAAACATATGCCTGAACATTCTTAGAGAGGGTGAAATTTATCAATAACTGATTTTGTCAGGGAAGACAACATGGGTAAAAATATGGTTTCAGAGACGATAGGCTAACAATTAATATGGAATATTACGGGAAATAGTACCCTCTGCCTGCCAGAAGATCAGCACAAGTTTTCAATGAAGATCTGAAGTCAAACAAGCCTCTGCCAGTAGCTAGTCTATGGTAAGTCAATATAAATAACAAAAACATTATGCCATAAGGTTTATGACAAATAAAAGAGCAGTGGTGCCAACCAAGCACAACAAAATTTCACTTTAATAAACAAAAAGACTAATTTAACAAGTCTTCAATTTCATCTTACCTCAACAACTTCAGTTCCCCCATTTTGTATACGAGATGTTAAATATTCAGTTTCCTCTGGCGTAAAAGAACAAGGAGGTTTAACCTGAATCACATAAGACAAGTCAAAAAGAATTTCTACTAAGATCCCCCGAACCAGGTCAAATCAGTTTGAACAAAGTTTGCCAAACCTGGGAAAGAAGAGGTAGAATTGTAACGCCAGCATGACCCCCCACAACTGGAACATCCACTTCCCTAGGATCAAGCCCCAAAACTTCAGCCTTCATGACATGAAACAGATTAGATCAGGCAGATAATCAACACTAGATACCAAACCACAACTGAAAGAGTGTTCAGTTGGCATGCACAGTTGCACACAACCATCGATGTCATTTTTGCGAATATTCTTGAGACAGTACCAATATAATGTTCAGACTTCAGCAAGATTAAGGTATATATATATTCATACACACACACTCTCTCACATCAGATGCCTGATAGATGAGTCTCAGAGCCGGAATATACTACATTACCTCCGAGTCCTTGTAGTCTGTTTATTCTTGTACAAAAGGTCAAAATGCAACAGGTCCGTGAAGCATAAAAAGAAACAGTACAACGTGCTACTAGATTTTTAAAATGAACTTGGTTCAGATAAGTTGTACTCCATACAGTAACAATAGTAGTTCACCAAAATTTTATAGGTTTCGCCTAACACAGATATTACGAGTAGCGGTGAAATAACAATGTATTTTCGAGAATAATTGGTCTAAAATATATAAAAAAAATTGACTTTTCGATAAGTTTGATAAAAGAATAAAGAACGGTGCCCATTAACATTTGAGCAAGTAAGATATCCAAGAGATAATGAATAGCGGATGGTTTTTTCATTCAGGAATTTGGACATCATTTTGAGACAGATCAAAAACCATTTTCTGGATGGGCTGATAACATGGTTCTAGCATTTTTTGCCCAAATTGGCAGTCAAGAAAGCACAGATAATCTGCTAATGATTGGTTCGGTATTGGCTTCTAGCTTTTTAAGCATTGAGTAGATGCTCTGTTGAAACGGATGTAGGAGGAAAAATCACAAAAGAAACAGTTTAGAAAGCTATGCATACCACAAATGTATTGGCTCTGACAATATCAAGCATTGTCACGCCCAACAGTCTCCTCGGATCAAAGGTGCCAGCCTTCTTGAAAACCTCTGCAGCAATTGGTACTGTAGAGTTAACAGGATTACTAATTATGTTAACAATGGCCTTAGGACAGCACTTGGCAATTCCTTCACATAAAGTCCTCACAATTCCTGCATTGATGTTGAAAAGATCATCTCTTGTCATGCCTGGTTTTCTAGGAACACCAGCAGGGATTATTACAAGGTCCATGCCAGTGAGAGCATCTTCCAATTGTTGAGGCCCTAGAAAACCACGTACCTGGAAATCAACAAACTCAAGTTAATTGTTTAAAGACATAATAACATCTCTGGTCAATGTCATAGCTAGAAAAGAACACAACATTACAGTATGGGATATATCTCAGACATAAGCAAGCATCGAGACTTCCATTGCAGAACAGTGTTGTAAAGGGCGACATTGGGGTTCGCCTTGGCTTGAGTTTGGGTCTACATGCCCGAAGACAGCCATTGGGGACAAACACATCACGAGCTAACGCGCCTTTTATTGGCATACTAGCATCAATTTAACCATTCAGATGTTTTGTCATCCAATCAATTTCCTGTTTACTATGTTAGTTTCCTCTTTCTTCTAACATCTCAGCAGATTATTTGATTTTTCACCATATATTTTGGTTGATTCAGAAATCACTTTATTGGTTCCCGCCTGGAAGCCAAAAACTTTTTAGCAAATTTCAGATATTCTACCCCAGAAGACTTTGAAAGGACGGTTCTGGTTAATGCAATAGGCTGGTAAGGCTTAAGAACCAGTCAATCAACTACGCCTTTATCCCACAAGTTTTATAAACAAGCCTCTATCCCAAATTAGTGGAGATTGGCTATATAAACTTCCTGTTCATCGTGCTGAATTTAGGTACATTGCGTTCTAAATTGTTTGGCTTTTAATGCAAAGTAGGAGTTCTCTAAAACTAAAAGTTCAAATCTCCCTACTTTCCAACACAAATATAAGTCTTTTACCATAGCAAAAAGATTGCTGACAAACAAAGGATCTACTGTGAGTGTAAACCTTACCATTAACCAGCCATTTGTTCCAACTAGTCCGTACCGCCTATATGAATCCTTGTACTTTCATATGTTTTATTTCTTAATAGAGTCTACTATTCGCTTCTAAAAGATTGTATGTCTTTTTTTGGACCAGTTCCCTCTGCATGATTTTAGGTCTACCTCATGTCCTTTTACCGTCTTCCGTCATATTATTGCACCTCTGAACCGGTGCATCTGGAGATCTACGTATAACATACAAAAAATCTTAAGAGACCACGTCTCTTTTTGTTTTAATAAAGGAGAACACCTCTCTTTTTGTCCATTATACTCCATGCTAAATTGCACCCTTTGCTGAGATATGATCATCTGTGATTTTGTCCAACCTTGTATAATCAATTAATCATACATCCATTGTAACAACCGCATTTCTACGAATTCATCTTGTGGATATGTTGGGCCTTAGTAAGCCCCACATTCACTTGCGATAACATTGCTAATCTCTTAACTGCACTATAAGAATTACATTTTACTTTATGTCTATATGTATCTTCCTATCGCATAACACTAAAACAGCAATCTCCATTTCAGTCATCATATTTTTATTC